ACGACTGCTGGTCTTCTGACCCTGCAGCACAGAGGCTTCTGCGGTTTAGCCCACAGCACCACCACGTCGTTCTGAGTTGCAAATTGAATCCGAATCAGGGAAACGAGTATGACTCAAGTCACTGGTGCAACTTAAGTCAGACGTGCTGTTGAGTCCGATGTCTCAAGTCCCCACCCCTGCTCACTTCCGTACTGGTGATGTCACTTTGGGGTGGCAGCCCTTGATTTAAGATCTCACACACTTCCTCTCCAAGACCAGTGATTCCCCAATAGAACTATCTCCAGATATTTAAATTTTTTAAAATAATTGCTGCCACCTGTCCAAAACCCATATGACTGATGTTCTTAGTCTGTTTAAGCCAAACACGAAGTATAAATCCGACATAGTCACAGTTGGGCTTCAGTGTTAAGAATAGATAGATGACCGTCCTATGTGCTCTTTCAAAGGAACGGTGGGGTTGATGTCCAAGAAGGGACCCTGGGGGTCATCCCATCCAACCCCTGACCAGGAGGCCCCGTGGGGGAATCGAACTCACAACGTTGGACTCCACAGCCAGAGACCTCAACCCCTGAGCTCTCCAGCAGAAGGAACTTTTTAACAGGTGGCGATCTGCCATTCTGCGTGACTTCACTTCTGTTTTGCCCCGCGGAGTTATGGAACAGGATACCGGCCGAAGTGGGAGAAGATGCTAATCATCATTTTGTGCTTTTATGTGGATTTTATGAGGGAGTTCTCCTCTCAAAACCAGTCAATAAATATATTATAGGTTGAAATGCATTTAGAAAAAGGAGAACAGAATTGGGGGAAAAGGTGAAGGCAAGTCAACATGTATCCTAAAATGTAATATTGTAAGGGAAGTTTTGCAGCATTTTTTTCAAATTGGCTCAGACTCCGATATACAAACAAGCGTGGAACTGACTCGGAGGTGACAAGCAGAGAACAATCCATCTCTACCTACTCATAATTAGCCCTCCAACTTCTAAAGGAAGCAAAACAAAAATGATCGAAAAACGTGTGTAGAGGGAGTGAAGAGGACAGGCAGGTCTAAGTCAGCGGCAAAACAAAAAAATCCATTAACAGATTATAAAGGCCAGCTCAAAAGTAAATGTTATGCTAAAGGTCAAGGGAATGAATGTTGATCCCAGAAAGACAGAGCAAAGAACAAGTGTCACGAGTCGCACTTTTCCACCACTTCCTGCCACTCATTTAAACACCCGTCACATTTACTCCCTTGGGAGTTGTACTTCTTTCTCATGCAGAAAGTCCCATGTTCAAGGCGGTGTGCACAGTTTGTGTCAGGGTGGAAGTGGAGGTTTTGGGTTTTTTCCCCCCCAGCTCGGCACAGAGATTAAATTCTGCTGTTCAAGAACAATTTCTTGTTTATCCATCCATCCATCCATCCATCCATCCATCTATCTATCTATCTATCTATCTATCTATCTATCTATCTATCTATCTATCTATCTATCTATCTATCTATCTATCTATCTATCTAATCTTATTTATAGCTGACCTTATGCATAAACTGGGACATGGGGAGACTCGCAATAAGGTTTAAGACAGAAAGAGGTCACAATGCAAAATTGTAGAGTGTTGGGACACAATGTGACAAGTTAGAGGACTTAACAAAAGTCCTGTACATTTATGCTGACAGGCATCATTGTGCAAGAATTGCATATATACAGAGAGATAATGATCAGTCGGACAGTGGTTACAAAACTGGGGGTGTGATACACATTATCCAATACATGTAGAACAGTCCACCAGAGAGGAAAAAAACCATTGTCTTTTGTTAAAGAGATGTGGGTAAAGATACGCCTGCATTCAAAACCATTTAAATCCAGACTTATGACAAGCCCTCTTCACAGTGAGTCAGGCCACATAGTCTGATGCCTGGATAACTTCCTAAGAACTGTTCTTCCTAAGAACTTTAGGAAAAAAATGGAAGCCTGTATTAGCAGAACTGGCATTTATCCTTAAAAGGGTTAATTCCAGTGTGAACCAGATGTTGTTGTCGTTACATGTTGTGAAGTGGCCTCCTAATTATGGTGACCCTATGAATGAGTTCTCCAAATTACGCTGTACTCAACAGCTCTACTTAGTTCTTGTTAACTCATGCCTGTGGCTTCCTTTAGGGACTCAATCCATCTCATGTTTCTTCTTCCTCTTTTCCTTGTGCCTTCCACTTTTCCTAGCATTATTGTCTTTCCCAGAGAATCCTGCCTTCTCCTGATGCCCCCAAAGTATGAAAACCTCAGTTTCCTCCTGTTTGCCTCCTGAAGAGGTTCAGGCTTGATCTAGGAACCAGATAACCATTTCAAATCATACCCTGTTTCCCTGAAAATAAGACCTAACCTGAACATAAGCCCTAGTGTGATTTTTCATGATGATCATCACATAAGCCCTACCCCAAAAATAAGCTCTAGTTGAGTGAAACTCCACCCTCCACCCTTGTGCAGCAACCAGAAGATGATGACATGAATGTATTTGAATAAATGTAGATTATTGTACATGGGGGGG